CTGCTGCTCTTGCTGCTGCTCTTGCTGCTGCTGCTGCTGCTGTGGCTGCTGTGAGGATGCGCCGTAGGTTGTTGACAGGCCAGTAGCTTGTGATGTTCCCCCCCTACCATCGCTTCTTCTGAAAAATGTGTTGTCACAGAAGTGTGAACAACAAGAACACATAATTACATGAGTATCTTCTTTCTCAACATCCTAGATTGTAATCACGATCTTCCGGCCCTCCTCCAGTTCAGCCCAGAAGCGCCCTCCTAGCTGATGGGCTGTTCTGTCAGCGCATTTAGCCGAGCAGTTATAGGCCCCTTTGCAGGAGACGTTCCTCAAGCGGATCCGCAAATGGGACACCGAGCGCCTTCGCTGCGCCATGCACGATTCAACAGCGGTGGAGTTGGACATCAGTGTGTCAGAGGGCTCGGGCGTTAACGAATTGCCGTTTGGTGACATAGCATGGACAGATCTCATGTATCCAAAATTTGCACTAAAGTAAGATATGGCAACTTTTGTTCCTCACAAGCTGTTCTCGCAGGTTCCTTTGCATTGGGAAGAATGCTGCTGAGGCCTGTCAGATATTCGGTGGTTTTTGGCCACAGATATATGTACTTATTCATATATACATATATACACATGTTGGTGCGTACATACACAGACATATATATATATATATACATACACACATATATACATACACACCTACAATAAAGGCATCTTAGAACATGGCAACAGCCCTTATTGCGCGGACCCCTAAACAGGATGCAACACACATGACGCGTGAGGGAATGAGGTGGCTTCAGGGACTGCATGGTATACCTAGCTACGGCCATGCAGACAACAGATTTACAGATTTTGCTCATGCTGCTGCACATGTGATTCTTCACGGCTTCTGACAATGGTAGAGATAGACAGGCGAAGCTGTGCGTTGCTGCCTAGCTAGTCGGCGTTACGTGCCACAAGCCATGCATTGTCATACATGCTTTAAAAGTGCTGGCACTTTGCCAGATGGCCAGAAATCATGCTCTCTGTTAACGAACTCGGAGTTCAGGTTTGGAGAACATTCAAAGTTGCAAGTTCAAAGTGAAAAACGCGTGAAGCTTTGGCTCCTTGCTTTACAATACAAGCAGGGGTTACCGAAACCAGGCCCTGCTCCATTGTCAGATGCTACAGAAAGCATCCATCTGCCTATGCAGTATGTCACGATTCATGGCGTGCAGCTGTGCAAGCTTGTCCCGCAGGCCCCTTAAACTTCTTGAAGTGTTTCTAGTTGCTAAGTCCAGCAAAGAGCGTGCTCAAGCTGAGACCACACTACGCAATTATGAGGCGCAGACTAGTTTGACTCCGTAATACTCTCGGCAACAGGTCTTCAATGTGCCGAAGCCAGAGGAGGTGGTCCCTCGGATCACGGCCAACCTCGACTACTTCAGCACCTTAATGGCAGCTTTTTGCTTGAAGGTTTTCAAGCTGACTGCAGCTTCGTGGTTAGGAAGCCTTCCGGAACATCATTGCAATTAAGTCGTGGATGATCTAAGGCTTCTTGGATGTAGCCTTGGATCTTAGCGTCTCAGTGCATTCCACTCTTTCGCGGATAGGGGTTCGTAGGGAAGGGATGGCTTTGCACTGCGTAGATTTCAGGCCCTCTGACAGCTGGCACATGTTGTGCTATGAGGGGCTTGTGTTGGAGGCTGAAGTTCCATTATTTACCCAGTCGTCATTCGCATGTCTAACTATGATTAGGCTGCTGGAGCACAGGCTCAAAGTTCTGAAGTGTCGGTCTTTCAGGGAAGTTTACAGGTCTGTTATTGCCCAGATTCAAGGTTGGCAGTGCGAAGCCTTCACAAGCAGGCAATTCAATATGTTTACATGCAGCCGACGCTAGTCTTTATGCATATCCTGGAGCCGGGAAAGTGATGACCTGCACCTCCCACGAAGCCCTTACAGGTTGAGTAAATGGCGGAAAGCAGCCTGCACCCTTGTCTTGTTCCATGAGGAGAGGTCAGAATGAAGCAATCCCAGCCCAAAATGCCCCCTAAACCTCGCGGACTTACACTTTCATCCCTAACAACCACACATAACACAAGACTTCAAATCCCATATCATTGCTTTGGAGGTGTAAACTATGCAGTTTGTCTCGCAGTTTTCGCCCTTACCTCCATCGTGGTCTATCCGCCGCTTGGCCTCAGCGTGTGGGTCGCCAATCTATTGGGACTGTTAGG